TAAGGCAACATATGTAAAGTATTTTGCAAATCTTAAAGTGCTACATAAATGTTTGCTATCATTTACTATTATTAATTATCATTATCATTATTATTATTATTATTATTAAAAGCACAGTCATTTGTACTGAATAATTCCTGGATAATTATTTCTTTGACTTCCAAGAGTACTTGTAGCCTGTTAAATTGAAAGATTTGCCCATATGTTCAAAACTCCATTTTGTCTTTCTCAAATCCCATCTGGAATATCATATTCAGCTCTGGGTAACATATTTTAGGAAGGGCATTTATAAGATGAAAAGTATTCAGAGGAGGGTGAGAAATAGATGAGAGAATGAGAAATGTTTTACCTAAAGAAGACTTTTGGGGGACATGATACCTATCTTCAAGTATCCCAAAGGCTATCGAGTAAAACCAGGATTAGACTTGTTCAGCTTGGTCCCAGAGAACAGAACTGGAGGTGATGAGTGCCAAACACTGTGCTAGGCATGAGGAATATAAAGATAAAAACAAAACAATCCCTATCCTCAAGTTTAATTTCTACTGGAGTGAAATAGCATGTATACAGATAAGTAAATTAAAAATACATACCAAATAAATAGAAATCGTTTTTTAAGGGGAGCACTAACAACTAGGTGAATCATGAAAGCCCTCCTCTAGGTAGCACTTGGGCTGAGACTTGAAGGGAAGTAGCAGTTCCAAGAAGCAGAAGAGAGGAGCTCATTCCAGACACAGGGCACAGCCTGGAGGTGGAGATGGAATGTCAGGTATGGGAAAGAACAATAGAACAGTTAGTCTGGAACTAGAGCAAATGATAGGGAGTAGTGTGCAATCAGCCCAGAAAGATAGGCTGGAGCCAGACTGCAAAGAGTTTTTGATGCCAAAAAAAGAATTTGTGTGTTGCTTGAGAAGAAATATGGAACCACTGAAGCTTCTTGAGCAAGAAAATGACCATGCTCAGACCTCTGCTTTTGGAAGATCAAGTTTGCAGCTGTGTGGAAGACTGGAGAAGGAAAAGACTGGAGGCTTTTGCAATTGTTGTTGTTGTTTGTCTTTTGTTCTCTAAGAGGACCCTGATGTTAGGAAGGTGATGCCATGACTTGCAAGCGAATTGGATTTAAGTGAGGCAGGGCTGTGCAAAGTTACCAGCCTCACTCTCTTCTCTGGAGCCATCTGGATCTGGTGGTGAGATGTAGATCAGGACGACTGGAGATGGCCCCAGATGCAGTGGGAGACCTTGGCTTTTCTAAGTTAAGGTCTCTCTCAGGTCTCAGTTTGATTGAGTAAATGACCATTCAGTGATTAAGGGTAATAAGAAATGAGGCAAAGAATGGTCTCTTTTACCTAGTTGCCAAAACAGAAACAATTGCTATTTACATTCACTCTGAGCCAAGTGAGGCTTGGGCTGGAACCTATTGTTACCAAAGTTCAGTTAAGAAGTAATATAGATTTGATGTGGTAAACCAGGAGCCAATGTAGATTTCTAAACAAGGGAGTGATGTGATTAAAGCAAAGCATTAGGAACCCTACTCTAGGTTATAGATAATCAAGAACAATTAGTTCTAATCTTGGGTTTGTAGGGATTCAATTTAATTTCATATATATTTATTAAGAGCCTACTATATGCCGGCACTGTACTAAGGCCTGGAAGGGAGTCTCCCATTGTCATAGAATCAAAAGTTTAGGGCTCAAAAGAACCTTAGAAACCATGTAGTCAACTACCGTCATTTTACAGATAAGGAATGTGAGGCCCAGAGATGTTAAGCCTAATATGATGGAGGAAGAATTTGAACACAGGTTCTCTCACTTCAAATCTGTGCTTTTTCTACTTTTCCTAGTGGGTGTCACAAAATTCTCAAAAAGAACATTTAAATTATCAATACTTACAAAATAGTATATAAGTACATATATAAAAATATAAATATATTTATGTATATGTTTTCTTCCCCTATAGTACTTAAGTTCCTTAATGGTATACCAAATTAAGGTCAAAATGAGTAGACAATTTACACATGAAGAGTAAGACCATAAGCAAATTAGGAGAGCACAGAATAGTTTATCATCAGATCCATATAATATAAGGGAAGAATTTAGGACCAAATAAGATATAAAGAGCATTACAAAATGTAAAATTGATTATTTTGATTATATAAAATTTAAAAAGTTTTTGCACAAATAAAACTAATGCAACAAAAATTAGAAGGAAAGCAGACAACTGGGGGGAGATTTTACAGTATATATCTCTGAGAAAGGCCTCATTTCTAAAATATATGAGAACTTAGTCAAATTTATAAGAATACAAGTCATTCCCCAATTGATAATGGTCAAAGGATATTAACTGGCAGTTTTCAGACAAAGAAATCAAAGCTATCTATAATCATATGAAAAAAAAGACTCTAAATCACTGCTGATTAGATAAATGCAAATTAAAACAACTCGGAGGTACCACCTCAAACCTATCAGATTGGCTAATATGACAAAAAAAGAAAATGATAAATGTTGGAAGGGATGTGGGAAAACTGTTGGATCCAGTAATACTACTGCTCGGTCTATATCCTAAAGAGATTTTTTTAAAGGGGGGGAAGGGGGAAGGACCTATTTGTACAAAAAATATTTATAGCAGCCCTTTTTGTGGTAGTCAAGAGTTGGACATTGAGGGGATGCCCATCAATCAAGGAATGGCTGGACAAGCTGTGGTATAGGATTGTAAGGGAATATTATTGTGCTATAAGAAATGACAAGCAGAATGATTTCAGAAAAACTTGGAAAGATACACATAAACTGATACAAAGTGAAGTGAGCAGAACCAGAAGAACACTGTACACAATAACAACAATATTGTATGATGAACTGTGAATGACTTGGCTATTCTCAGCAATACAGTGATTGGAGACAACCCCAAAGAACTCATGATGAAAAATGCTATCTGCCTCTAGAGAAAGAACTTATGTTACCTGAATACAGACTGAAGCATACTATTTTGCACTTTGTGTGTGTGTGTGTGTGAGTGTGTGTGTGTGTTAGAGTCTTTTTGCACAAAATGATTAATATGGAAATGTTTTACATGATTGCACACGGATAACCTATATCAGATTGCTTACAATCTCAGGGAGGGGAATAAGGGAGGCATAGAATTTGGAACTCAAAACTTTTAAAATAAAAATGAATGTTAAAAATTGTTTTTACATGTAATTGTGGGGGAAAAATATTCTTTAAAAAAAAAAGGCAGGGACTGTTTCATTTGCATTCTTAGTGCTGACCCATACAATGCTTTTAATAAATGCTTTTGACTGGTTGACACAAACCTTGTTCAAGGCTAGAAAGGGATCAACACCAGAAGTGTAGGGAATTATTTAACTAAAAACTAGGAGAGTGCTTAAAATCCTTTATGATCAGAACCCAGACCAAAGTAGTACCTGATGGAGAGATTTAGGAACATGGCCTATTTTTATTTTCACAATAATGAAAGGTACAAACAGATTATGTTTGTTAATGGAGTCAGAAGACCTGAGCTCAAATTCTTCTTGACACCTAATACTAGCTGTGTGACCAAATCAGGAGATAGGGATTAAACCTGTGATTTCACTGGTATAAGATGAGGAAATTGCCTCACCCAGTCAGGTTGGCCCTTTCTTTGCACCTTACAGTCTTAGAAAGTTACCTAGGACACTGAGAGCCTATGTGATTTGCCCAGGGTTAACAGCCAATGCAGTTAAGAGGAACTTGAACTCAGGGATATTTGAATCTTCAGGGACAGTTCTCTATCCCATTGTGCCACTGCTGCCTCTTGACCATACAAGGACAACCAAAAAACATTCTTTCTCCTCAAGTTTATCTTCTACTGGGGGGGCAACAATAGGTACCCAGGCTAAATAAAAAATATATACAAGGTAAAAAGTATTGGGAAGACCACTTTAAAAGTCTGAACCACACCAAATCACTTCATCTCAGTCTCCCCACCCCCTGTGCCCCAATACTAACTAACATTTATAAAGTTTTAAGGTTTACTAAGTGCTTCTGTATGTGCAGCTGTGTAGTCAAGTCAAATGAAGAAGCCATTGAATCTGCTGCTTGGCAGACAGCCTCAGTTTAGGATTTCAAATTTTCTGTAGCGACTAAGTCCCTACCACGGGCCAGGCCCTGGGATACGTGGGTACAAAGACAAAAAAAAAGTTCTGCTCTCAAGCTCAGAGTCTAATGCGGGAGCCAACGTGCAAACAACTATGTAGAAACAAGACACATACAGGATAAATTGCGGAGGGGGGAGGGTGTCTCAGAGGGAAGGTTCTACATTTAAGAACCGGGAAGGACTTCTTGCCTTGCGGGAAGGTGGGACTTTGAGACTTGAAGGAAACCAAGAAAGTCAAAAGGTGTTGATGAGAAGGGTAAAAATCCCTGGCCTGTGGGATAGTCAGTGAAAATGCGTGATTCTGGAAATGGAATGTTTTCTTTTTTTCTGCAGAACTTTTCAAAATCAAGTCAAGGAACATTTATTAAGTGACCACTATATGTCAAGCACTGGGCTAGGAGCTGGGGATACAAAGAAAGTAAAAAAGTCCCCGCTCGGAAAGAGATGGCTCACAAGCTAATGGGGCGAGTGGAGGGAATTTCCGCACCGGGAAGTTCCCGCTAATATGCCATTCTAGGTTCAGACATTCACACACACACCCCATAAGGGAAAAACAAAATTGTTGGCCCTCAATAACTGTTAAGTGAAGATAAGAGCACTTCCTGGACTGTTCTTCCAGTGCCTCGCACTCCGTCGCTTCAGGAGAGATTGCTATCCGCTTCCCTCCCTGCTGGGGTCTGTGTCCCGACCCCTTTCCCCCGGATGATCGCGGGGACTGCGCCTGGGCATGTGCGTGCGCTCCTCGGGGAAGGAAGAGGAAGAGGTCCCCACTCCCTACTCCCTCCTCCCCCCAGCCCGCAGCGTGGGCTGCTGAAACCAGTGAGGCAAAGGTCAAGTCGCTGCTGCTCTCGCGAGACCAGCGGCGACGGGGACAGGCGGCAGCGGCGGAGGTATCTCCAGAGTGGCTCCTCACAGTTCATAGAACCACATACAAAGTCCTCGCGCTGACGCTTCCGCGAACATGGCGGCAAGTGCGCGGAGAGCGGCTTTAATCGCGACTTGGGGCAGTTGTCTGCGTCGTGGCCTCGCCGAAGGCCGGCGGGCGCTTCCCCGGCCAGGCCCTCTGGCTGTGGCTGTAGCGGGGGCAGCGATGGCAGGGGTAGGAGCGGTCTGGTACAAGGGACGCCTGGACCTCGCAGCTAGCGGTTGCCTGACAGTCTTTGCGCAGGTAAGGCTGAAGACCCCGACGGGAGAGGAGCCGCCCTGGGGGCGGGGCGTGAGGCGAGGGGCGGGGCCTGAGGGGCGAGGGTTACCACGGAAGGCGCTGTCCTTCCTGCTCCGTGCCCCAAGGAGGGTCTTGTTTAATGCTTTGCTGATTGACGGTTGGTTCGTTCATAGAGCCCTTGTGACAGACTAGAAAAGGATTAGGAAAAACGTAAAAGAGGGTAACATTTTTGGACGGCACCCTATGCCTAGGATAAACCCTTCTAAACTTTCTAACCTGCCGAGGACCCCAGAAATGCTGTATTTCACTCTAAGTTTTTTCCTCACTCCCACTCCACACACACATCCACCTACAGCGGAGTCTGGGGTCTCTGTCTCATTGAGGAGCAGGGGTGAAGAGAGTAATAAGAATCCTTTTGTAGGCTGGTGGTTTCTGAAAATAACACAGAAGTGTAGGGAGTCTTTCATTCAGAGTTGAAAGTACTTGAAATACACCCTCTCCCCCATTCCCAGAATTCCCTTAATCTGTGAAAATGACACCATGGGTTCTGTCAGTGAAGTTACTGTTTTTCCCTGCGGATGGAGTACCAAAATCTTTGCACAAAAAGAGGCTGCGCCTTTATTAAGTTCTGAAATAGTCTAGCCTAATAATGCTTATTATATAAATATTATCCATACATTTTCCAAATCCATGTTTTTGTTTTTGTACTGGGAAAAAAAAGTCAAACCTGCTGACTGGACAAGGGAGGATGGCAATGTACAGGTTGCCTCAAGTCTTAGTGCAGTTTTAAACTAGGTTGAGGTAGCCAAATGACGTAGTGTTGGCCCACAGGCGTAGGGTCAGGAAGAGGAGTTTTCAGCTCCTCCACTAATCTCAGACACTTAACCCTGGACAAATCACTTTCCCTCAGTCTGTCTCAGTTTCCTTATCTGGAAAATAGGGGTAATAGCGTCTACTTCCCAGGGTTGTTGTGAGGATAAAATAAGATGTTTGCAAACCTTAAAGCACTATATAAATGCTAGTTATGGTCATTATTATTATAACCACTAAGATTTGGGGGATTTCTGTATATTTGTAAATGAAGATGATGGAAAAACCAAAGAAAAGAAAAGTTTTTAAAACAAAATGTCAAACTTTTAAATTATACTCCTATAAAAATTGTTAAATATAATATAAATCAGTAGGCTAAATAAGACTGTAAGACTCAACAACCTCTTCAAGTTTATCCCTTTTATTCAGGACTTAGAAATAGAGATAGAGAAAGCTTATAGGTCATTTAGTCCAACTCCCTTATTATTGGAGGAAATCCAGAGAAGCAGAGTGACTTAGAGTCACACAGTAAATGGCAGAGCTAGTACTTAATATTTTCTGACTCTAAATCCAGCGTTCTTTCCTATGTGTTGCAGAGCTCATCATAATTAGTACAAAATAATAAAGGACTGAGTATACTTTAAAACTTTTGAGAAAGTAGTGACTTGATAGCATTTTTATAGATTTCTGACAAATATATGTATTTCCTTAATCAAAATTTTATGTATTTTTTTCCTTTGGGTATTTTAAAATTAAATTGCAAATTTTCTAATTTGTTTACTTTTTACATAGCCTTTAGATTTATTTGGTACTTGCCTCACAAAAGCTTAGGGACTATTCAGATAAAATAGATTTAAAAGCAAGACATTCAAATTCAAATAATCTGGCAAATGATAATTTGGTATTGTTGTAGTAAAACACCACATAGGTAAACAATGTATAATTTTCCGCCATTTCACATTTGTGAATATCATTACCAGTTGTGGAAAAAGGAAGTAACAAGTGATGTCCAAGAAAACTATTTTAACAACCTTGTAGCAAGATTAGGATTTTAGACTTATAACTGATTTTCCTGATTGATATTTTGTCTCTTTTCCAATTCATTCAGTATATACAAAATAATACAAAATCAGAAACAAGTGAGGATAAGGGTAAACGGTATCAAAAGGAAAAGACTACATGTTAACTATGTTAACTTGTTGAAGGAGGAATATATTTAAGAGAATTTCTAACTGGAGAATTCTTGGGCTGTGTACCTGAATATATTGGGTTTTTTCTGATTGACTTTTTTTTTCCACTCCTTACAGAGGTTGCCTTTTATAGTAATAGAAAAGTTTAGAAAAGGGGTGGATTTTGAAGGAAAGATAATAAATTGTTTTTAGACATGTTGAATTTGAGATGGCCTATTAGACACTCATGTGAGATGTCAAAAAAGTCATTGTTGATGTGAGAATGAAGGTCAAGAGATGTTAGGGTTCGATAGGTAGAACTGAGAGTCATCTACATAAAGACAATGATTGAACCCATGGGAGCTGATGAGGAAACCCAGTGAAATAGCATAGACCAGGAGTTCTTAACCTGCAGTCTGTGAATTTGTTTCTTTAATATTTTGATAATCATGTTTCAATGTAATTGGTTTTCTTTGTAATCCTATATATTTTATTTTATTCGTTTAAAAATATTATTCCGATAAATGGCCCTTAGGCTTCAACAGACTACCAAAGAGGTCCATAACACAAAAAAGGTTAAGAATTTTTATTCTAGAAGAAGAGAGAGGACCTAGAATAGAGCTTTGGGGCAGGAGTTGGAACCAAGAGAAAGACTGTGAGCCATGTACTAAACTCATTGAGGAAGGGGGGAAAAAGTTCTGGGTGGATAGTAATGACCACCAGGATCTAGATTGGATGATAAATTTGAATAGTACGAACCTCAAAGTGGGGGGAGGTTGCTTAGTATTGGTGGTGGAGGAAGGGTCTAGAAGTGGCAGTGGAGAATAAGGGGAATTCCATCTCCCTTACCACAACCAGTGAATTGGGGAACATGACCTAAAACAGTAGTTCTCAAATATTTTTGTGTCAATACTCCTTTACACTCTTAAAAATTATTGAGGACCTCAAAGAGCTTTTGTTTATATGGGTTATGTCAATATTAATCACATTAGAAATTAAAATATCTTAGTATTGTTGTTCTTACTCACCACATCCCCCTTCAGACTACGAAGATCCAAAATACAATCAACCAGTTCTGGGATAAAGTGCCATCAAGATGGAGCCAGGTTTCACTGAGTGCCAGAAGATGAAAGGAGTGAGAAGGGAAAAGGTTTAAAATTAAAGCAAATTTATTAATTATAGAACAGGTTTTCCAGAGAGCACAGTAGAAGGGATAGGGAAATCTCATGTGGGACTTTGTGAGGTGGTGGAGTTAGAACTGAGGGGGATAGGAGTAAGGGAGTGAGTAGTTGAAAATGAAATTGTTAATTCAGCAGCCATAGTTCAGAATCACTGGAATGAGGAGAGCATGAGGAAGTAGGAATATGTTCACTATTGAGGAATGAATCCAGGCAGATTATCTATATCCATGTTAGAGTGAGGTTCATTCTGCTCTTCTTTTTCATGAATACTGACTTCCACTTCTGAATAATAAGGTACCTTCTTTGGAAAGGAGGAGTCTTTAAAAGACAAGTGAAAAGAATCAGTAAACATTTTCAAAATAAATGGTGTTATGAATATTTTTCCTATTTGCAGTATGTTATTTTTATTTAGCCTCCCTTGGAGACACCTATAAATTTGCTTACATCTGAAAGTTTTCTTTCCCCTAAAAATTTTCTTAGTATACTTCTTCTGGATCTTGTCATTGGCCCTTTCTTTAGGGAAAAAAAATAAGATAGTGTGGACAAGAACTTTGATACTTGTTAGCACCTGTTACTATACTCACCTGATATCTTGTTGAATGTCACTAAGAGGGAAGTAGTTAAATATGCTTCCAGGTGGAGCATTTATACTTTCAAAAAATTTAATGAGGTAATAGCAACTTGCATTATTAAGTATCACAGAATACTTTCCTCATAATAATACAGTAAAGTACTATTTTAAATATGAAGTGAAGCTCAGAAGGGTTAAGTGAATGTCCCATACTGAGTCCATGCTTTCCATGTTGCCATAGCCACTCTCTTCTTTGCTCCACCCACCAAAAGGAGAATCCAAAGAAATCCTATGAAACTCTTATTTTTGGTAACAGATCAAAATATCAGTCAATAGGGGACTTTTGGTTTGGTTTTGTTTTGTTTTGTTTTTTTAGCTAGTAGGAAATGTAATATGAAGTACCTTCCTTCTGTAGCTAGATTTCATAGTATTCTACTCCTGACAGTTTTGATGATAGGAAACAAATCAGATTTCTCTACCACTCCCTTTGTCTATTCACAATTAGTTGGGAATGCATGTTAAATTTGTGTAATTATCCATGGTAATAGTAGATAGGAATGGTATAGATAATAGTATTGTATATAATTTGAAACCTTCATTTTAGTGGATAATCACCATCAAACTTTTCTTCAGCTATTATAGTAAGATATCATAATATTTGACAGAAATGAAATTCCCCTTTGTGCTTTTTTCTTGCCATGGCTGAAAGACAGGAAATAGGAGAAATAAGAGATAATTTGTAAATGGATCATTTGCAGTGAATAATATGATTACATGGTAGCTCTTTAAATTCTATATGAAGCCATATGAAAAGGAATCACACTTGAATCAAAAAGAAGTAAAACAAAAAAGTTTTACTAATCTAAAATTTTTTTCAAGGTCTTGTAAGACAATAATTCTTTCGGGTCTTGACTTTTTCTATCCACTAGCTTTTGTTCTCTTTTAAACATTTCCTTTTTGTTCTCTTTCTCTCTTAAGTTTCATATTTTATTACTATTATTTTGACAAATTTATTTTATCCTAGTTTTTTTTTTTTTAACGATGAATTCAGCAGGTATTAAACACCTACTAGTGCCAAGTACTGGGGATAAAAACACTCAAATGAAACAGTCCCTCTCTTCAAGTAGCTTACATTGTCCTTGTGGGAAATAGTAAGTATACAGAGAAGTAAATACCAAATGTATACAAAACATACAATAGTTTTGGGGTAAAGGGAACTAACAACTAGGGATTCAAGAAAAGCCTCATTCTGAGACATAACACTAGAAAGGA